AATTGGTGAATCATGTTAACTTCCCCAGTTTCGTTTTAGCACTTTTTAACATATCAAATACCAATACAAAATGAAGTTTGCACTCGATAACCTCAGGAAAAGAGGATATAAAATATAAATTGGAATATGAGACCACGAATAAGGGAAAAGTTCTTTGCCCATCGCATTTGAATAGACGTCAAGTTCAAACTGATGTCATCGTTCCAAATATGTCAGACTTTTTTTTTCTTTTTCTGTAAACTCTCCAAGTATAGTCAAGGTCAATTTCATTTCTTCGCAGAAATTGTTTGAAACCACGGCCCACATCAGTGCTCTAACCCACTTCTCTCTCTCCATTTAATACGATTTAGTAATGTAAATACATTTATCTCATTTGTCTCGCCGCCGTCTTTTTCTTTCTTTCTCTCTCCCACTCCATTAATCCTCAACCGCTTAGATCCCCCCCCCTCTGCCCCCCCCCCCTCTCTCTCTCTCTCTCTCTCTCTCTCTCTCTCTCTTTCTCTCTCTCTTCCTTTTCCCAGCATTTTCACTACATCTTACCGCAGTTTCTCGTTCTCTTTCTGTATACCTCTTGTCTTCTGATATATTACTTTTCCATTGCTAAATGTTAATATGTATTATAGAGATAGAGAAAACTTTATAACCGACCTCTTCTCTTTTTCTATCTTTTTACTTTTTTCTCAAACGTGTGGAGGTATCTCTCTCTATCTCTTCATCTTTCTAGTACCTATCTACCTATATCTCTTTATTTATTTCTCTATGTCTTTCAATTATTTTTGTTACATATTTCCATTCATGACATTTTGTTCAATATTTGTAGAGAATTATTTATCACTATCATCAAGCACTCCCCCCCTCTCTCTCACTCTCTCTCTCTCTCTCTCTCTCTCTCTCTCCCTCCCTAACTCCCCTCCACTCCACTCCTCCCCCCCCCATCTCTCTCTCCTTATCTCTCCCTCTTTACTTTTTTTCGACTCCATAATCTTTACGTTGTGCACGAATCCGATTCCATCATTTACTCTTCGGAGGCGTACGTAAGTCTCGCAGTCAATAACACCCCCTTTCGTTCCCATTCAACGACTTTAACCGGCAAATCAGTAAATTTCGTCGGCAAATGTGGGAATACGAAATAAGCGTCCCGGTAAATCCCCCATTCAAGATTTTCAAAGGTAGGCGGGTCAACAGTGGTCCAGATTAAAACGCCATTTTCTCTATTTGAATTGTAATAGATACCACTTTACTCGCTAGGTGGGCTTTGCGGTACCCCTCTACCAGCGTTCCGCTCCCACGCGCGCACCACCTGCGAGCCCGGGCAGGTGTATGGGATTGGGTCGTGGCGCCATTTTGCTTATGTTGAGTGCGCACATTTTTTAGATATCCTATTAGAACATGCTGTAAAGGGGTGAATGAAATTGTCATCAATAAAGTCGTGTGATTAAATAAAAGTTATTTTCAGTTATCCCTGTCCAACACCCGACGATGAAAAAAAAAATTTTTTAAAGGTCACTTCATTTCTTTTTCTTCGAGTTACTTGGCATATTTCTACAGTTACCCAATGCTTCGCTAGAATGCTCTAAATTCCTTAAAAATATTGTTATGATATTGATGTTATAAAATATTAAAGTTACTAAACAATTTGCTTTGATTACAAAATATCAGCACGATAATAGTTCCAACAAAGAATTCACATTTAAATGTAAAAATTGATAACTGTTAATACTACGTAATGGCATGTCTTACAACATTCACTTTATAAGGGGGGGGGGGACATGATATTTCAGTTTCTTAATTGCTTTTAAAAGACCCAAATTGGAAAGTAACAGACGAGTTGCAAACCAATCGTATAATGTTTGCGATAGAGATAAAGAATTACGTCACTTCAAAAATTCTTAGAAAATTAGCCAACCTCAGATTCATTCGTCATCATCTAATTCCACGAAGAACTTTCCTCCGGGATATAAAGGGCGCAATTTTGATTAAAAAAGATGAAGCTATATCAAATATCACTTGCATTAACCGAGTTCTATTGCCAGAAGTGTGCGAAGAAAATGAGTAAGTCGGAAGGGCATACAAAAAGTTGGTCAATTATTCGGAAGAAGAGAGAGAGAGAGAGAGAGGGGGGGGGGGGATGGAAGCAATGATGGTGCCAATTTTAGGGGGTTAGTATGTAAACAAAAAATTGTGATTCATCGCGGATTTTGAATTGGTAAGGAATACGGTAAACCACTACATTACTATATATACACACTATACCCTAACCAAATTTTGCAGTTTTTTAAGTATGTGAGGGAATAAGTTTGTCCCGAGCTATGGTTCTGGAAAATGTGACATCTTTAAAGCTTGCATCTAAAGGTATTCAACAAAGGCCCTAAGTCGTCCAGTTCACCTTTCATCCTTGAGTTACAAAACACACAAAAACATCAAATTTACGAAAAGTATTAATAATTTAGTTGTTAACTTAAATGAAATTCAAGTCTTAATCACATGAATTTTATGTTTACATAACCACTTAAACCATTGTACTGTATTACTATTTACACTAAGGGGACCAAGTGACATTCGTAAATCCGTTATAAATAGCTTTGAGTGAGGAGTTGCATGGATTAATGGAATACATCTAATGTAAAGTCTATAGAAAGAGGGATTCGAAAGTGAAAGAATGGCATAGAGATTGGCACAGAGTTCATTTTTATTAAACGAGAGAAGGCTATTAGAAATATGGGACTTGTGCAAGGGGGTATTTTGTTTTTTGTTTTAGTAAAATATTAACTTATTCGTGTTTATCCCCCGCCCCCTCCCCCCCTCTCTCTCTCTCTCTCTCTCTCTCTCACTCACTTTTGTATATATTTATCTTTATCTCCTTCCCCCTCTCTCTCTCTCTCTCTCTCTCTGCCTCACTCACTTTTGTATATATTTATCTTTATCCCCTTCCTCTCTCTCTCTCTCTCTCTCTCTCACTATAACTTTTCAACTTTGAGCAGGCGCGATAGCTCAGTCGGTAGAGCAGTGGTCTCGTAATTCGGTGACCCGGGTTCGAAACCAAGTCGATGCGCTAGTGCCCTTTGGTAAGGCAGTAATCCTCATTACCATTACCAACCTAATCTTTCTATACAGCCTCCCTCTCTATCTGTCGCTAACATTCACTCGTGACTTATCTTTTCTGCTATGAACAGCCATCAAGGGTAAACGACTTTTTGTAATTCAAAGTTCGGTAACCGATTCCCATTGTTGGGTATTAAGCGGCCGTTTATCCTTTAATTGGGCCCCCTTTGCACAAACATTGTATTGCATTTTAGCAAAGCGTTTTCTAATAGAGGGGGAAACATCAATGGCAATTGAATATTGTATGGACCAGGTCGTTCACCTTAAATGCATTTCAACTTGAATAACAAATGAGGGATTGTGAGTGCACTATACCCTTTTAACAAAATTATTTCGCTCTTTTGAGAGAAAAGCTTGCTTTAGCGAAAAATGATAATAATACAATATTAAAACTAACATATTCAGGAGGTCTAAGCCCTAAAAGTTCACCAGTGCGAAGGTTAAATCATAATTTATGAATGACAAATTTCTAGATTGTTATCTGTAGATAATTCATGATGATAATTTAATAATAAATGCGTATGACTGAAAGAGAAGTATTTGAGCACATCTTTTTTTTTTTCTCTTCATATCTTTGGAAGGGGTCATCGTCAGTTTATCGAAGAGTTATTCACTGTTTAGATAAAGAGAAAACGATTTATAAACTTCGTTTAACTTTATGGCTCTATACATTGGTATCTTTCTTGTCGGTACCAAATAATTACTTTTATGAACTAACTTTGTGTTATTGTACTTAAGTGATCAAGTAGTATGTTAACACGAATATGTGATCGTTTGAAAATACCCGAAATGCATTTGTTAGATTTCTTTAATTATGGTTTATCTTTATCAATACACCCGGTTATAAGCTTTTAATTGTATTTATCTTCGTTGTGCCCAAATTAAAGGTAATATGATTAAGTTTGATGATCGACTAGGATCAATAGACTACATGGATTTCGCCATTTGGTTGAAGGGAATTCTCTTATTTGAGAATGTAATAAAGGAATGGTGTTAAACAATGTAAGGTATATTTTTAAATTTAATTTCGGAAGAAAATATTCTTGTAGATCATGAATTCCTTTAAACATGTTAGTTGTTCCTTATAAACATATACCTATACACTTTTGTTTTTCCGTAATTTTTATTTTCCCCAACCAGACGAATAATTTTTCAAATACAATTATTTGTCTTTCACCATGATAGCATAACTAAAATATTTTAATACATGTACAATAATTCATAAATTCCTTCGAGAATAAATTAAATGACATCAGTTATGATATAAAACAAATTATAACCCCCTCCCTTACTACTGAAACCAAAAAAAACCCACAACAATCTACTATAAACACACGCACACACACGCATACACACGCACACACACGTGCATACAGATAAATATATATTTCAAAGTGTTCTTGGAACTCATTACACTTTTCTGTAGCTTCATGTTAGTTTGAATGTGAATGTGAAACCTTTCCTTTAAAGGTAAAGACCAGTTTTAGAAACGCCCCCTCTCAAAAAATGAAATGGAAGCTCTTATTACCAATCATGTGAAAGAATATGTTTTGACTAATACGTGATCATACAAATCTTGCAGAGAAACCGCCTACTAATTGATATATTTGGTAAATTATAATATTTATTTGGACGTGATAGATATAACGCACGTGTTGCGCACGTGTGCGTAGTCCCATGTACCTCTTTTTGTGTACAGTGCTTCTAACTTTACCAAGACTGGGCGAAATTTCTGGTCATTTTGATGATTCCAGAACCTTGCAGTACACACCAATACTTATATGCTAGATGATCATCCTTTTCTGATCGATTCCACAACGTTTCTTTCACAATGCAATCTCATGACCAGAACTGGACTTTACCTTTAATGTCGTTTTTTGTTTCTTATCATTTTCCAGGCCAAGATGGAGTGTGAGAGTCAGATAACCGAGTCCCCGCTAGAATGGCCTGTAGAGCTGAATTGTGATACATTACCTTCTTACAACCCGGAGAGAAAGACGCCGAAATGTATCCACTATGAGCCTCCAAAGCCAGGTAACATCATGATCAATAATTATTACATCGGAATATTGAAAGTGATAGAAAAAGCAGAAAAAATGCGAAATGTATTTAGTTTTATGTTAACCCATTTTTATTGTTTTTGTTCATATTAACATATGTGTACATTTAAAGTGCCAAAAGCCAAAATCATTAATGGTATTAATAAATACAAATGTAGTCACATTTAAGAATATTAGACTAGTAGTTACGGATATGCACAGTGTTTAGCACATTGGGTCGCAAAAAGTGCTCTAGGTTAAGTCGTAAATGCAAAATGAATCAACTTAGAGTGCGGTATCCAGTTTACTTAGCCGCCACTAGAATGGCATGAAGGGTTGAATTGTGATACACGTGCAACCCCGAGAAAAAGACACCAAAATGTATTCACAACGAGCCACCCAAATTTGGTTTAGTTATGATTAAAAGAAATGAGTGTATTACATAGGAGTATTACAAGTTCTAGTTACCCCTCTTTAGAAAATTATATGAGTTTAAAATTTAAGGAGCGGGTGCAGTTGTCATCTTTCCTAAGGCTGTTTGGATGAACCAAATATTACCATACTTTCATTTGTATTAATATTTTTTTGCTTTGTGTAAAAAACTTTATAGATATACCGGTGTAAATTAAGGAAAAGACGAAGCTAGTTTTTTAATCTCTTCTCTACTTTATCAAATTGAAATACACATTAGAGTATGTTAATGCTACTAAACATGGTTAAAACAGGCCAACATTTTCAAAAGTTTGTATTTGCCATTTAGTTCATATTCGTTTTAGAGTATAAAAAGAAGACAAAAAAGTACCTGAAGAGTTCTAATTTCGATACATTAACTTTTCGCTATAACACTGGAGAAGAATTGTACCCAACTCAAGAAGCAAAATGTCAGCAAAGTAGCTGTTTAATTTACATACAGGAGCTACCAATGAAATGAATACATTCAAAATGATCTAGATGATATGGAACATTGTTAAAAGAACCCGTATAACCAGTAAAACTATAAAAGCATAAACCATCGTAAGTAGCAATTCGAAACAAACTCTTTTAACATTCCATATTTCAGCTTTGGCACCATTTAATTTCTTCTTTTGACGGATTCGATGTTTCTGGAAAGATGATTCATACGTCTGAACTGAACAGGGTGGTGAATCAGAGGGTTTGAATTACAACTCCCTCTTTGAAGAAATTGTATTTATTCTTGTACATCATATAGTGGTGTATCCATACATGGATAAAAGATGGGGCAAAATAAGGATAATGTGTTGATGTAATATCTTAAATTTGTCTTAAAGTTTCCTTAAACTTTTTATAGCACTCTGCAATACATTCATTTGGTTTATTTCGGCGAAATATTGCCATTAGTTTTAATGAGGAAAAATGTATATTTTCAAACATGCAACCAGGGGGGGGGGCGTTTCCCGCTCCGCCCTCTCCTGGATACGCCATGTTTACCTATTTATCACTATTATTTATAACAGTACGTCAGTTTAAATACGCCATTGGCATTCAACTTGACTTCAGGGACCACAAGAAAAGTGTAAACCTTAAAAAGAACACGAAATGATTGGCGTTGAACAGCGGTGCGGGCGTGGAGCGACATCCTGCCCCGCTGTGGCCCGGACGTCACTCAAGAGTACCCCTTTTGTGCCACCCGGGAAAAAAAGTGTAACCTAATCGCCATCAAATCGACAGAACGTGTTGATTTAAAGGCAGTAAATAGCGGCCCGGCCATTGTCTCGCTGGTGGGAAATTGTCGAAATGGAAAGGTTAAAACATCAAGAAAAGTGTTACAAAATAACAGTCACATAAATTATCGCCGCTGCAGTTGGCGCAACTGAGCAATTTGGATGTTTTGCCATTGTCAACTATTTTAATAAGAGCTGGTTTTCTTCTTGAAGTGGAAGTCACCCCCTTTGTCGGGGTTAGGAGCTTAGCCTATATCTAGGGAGGGGGAATCAATTGTCACACCTCCGTTTTTATTGTTTGATGGTGAAGAGACAAATTTAATTGTACTATTGCGTAAATAATTTGGTTTTTCCTTTCTGTACGAAGTGCTAATGAAATGATCTTGAGTTGACGAAATACAAACCCTTTTGTAAAATTTCTTTTTGGGACTGTGAATGGACTTGTTTGGGACTGTGAATGGACTTGTGATTCAAGAAAAATATGACTTTTGGTGACTTAAGATCTCAATATAAAGAGGATTAAAAGAATTGTTATTATTGAATATGAACTGATCGTGATGTGACGAAATACAAACATGACTACCCTTTTGTAAAATTTCTTTTTGGGACTGTGAATGGACTTGTGATTCAAGAAAAATATGACTTTTGGCGACTTAAGATCTCAATATAAACAGGATTAAAAGAATTGTTATTAATGAATATGAACTGATCGTGATGTGACGAAATACAAACATGACTACCATTTTATTAAGTTTTTTGTGGGAGTATGAATGGACTTGTGATTGAAGAAAAATATGATTTGGGGTGACTTAAGATCTCAAACTAAACAGGATTAAAAGATTTATTATTATTGAATACGAAATGGTCGTGATATGACGAAAATACAAACATGACTACTCTTTTATGAATTTCTTTGTGAGACTGTGAATGGACTTGTGATTCAAGAAAAATATTACGTTTGGTGACTTAAGATCTGAAGATAAACAGGATTAAAAGACTATTCTTAACTCATGTTCTGCTTTATGCAGAGAAGATGATTATTTTAAAACTTAAATGCCTTTCCTTTTCTTTTTTTTTTGTTGTAATGGATTTGTCTGGTTTAATTCTGTATATTGATGCTTTGTGTTATTTTAATCTCTGTATTTCTATCTCGTTTTTAGTATATTTAAGAAACTGTTTATGTAACTTTTATTATCTCTGGGAATAACCTTGATAGGCCATTGGCCTTTGTTCCCACCACATTATGGTTTAAATTGAAGATGTGTCATTTTGAACGTTTGTTAATGTATATACATGCATATGAATTGTACTTGTGTTTTTTTTAATCAAATGTGGAAATAAAACTTGAACTTGAACTTGAATTTGACGATCTATGGTTTTTAGATCAAGAAAAGTGCAAATTCTGAACATGTTTTAATGGTGTCCACAGAAAGCAAATTTAAATTAATTCCCTTTTTCCTGTTTCGTTTCCACACACATTATCTTCTTAATTATGATGCTAAAAAATACGAATCATGAATTTGGAGAGAAGAAAATTCTGATTGGTAACATCACTGTGATCAAAATAATGATACTCAGTTTGCTGTGCCTTTTGAGTTTATTACTACACAGTTGTGTTAATATTAATATATGTCCATTTCAAAATTAATGACGTCTATCATGTCTATTTTGTAAAGTCATTATCAATTATTAGACAATTTGAAAAGGGGAGAAATATATCCTAATTCCCCAAAACTCGAACAAGAAACTGGTTATATGTTCTACTTGGCTTCATACGTTCCCTTCAATAGTACGTTTTATTTATGATTTTTTTTTTGTTCAAGATAAAAAAGAAATCCTACCGGCAATACCGTATATTATGCATACTATTGAGTTCAAAGTTACATTACACATAAACTATTGTATTTTTTCAAAAACCATGCTTGTAAGTATGATAATTTCGAGTATTTGATGTCTCTAATATCAAAACTACGTTTATTAATACACATCGGATTCATTTCCAACCTTTTTTCCTCTAGCCCATTGTAAACTTCACAAGGAGATCGGACCGTGTAGCACCTACCATCCTTTCTGGTACTTCGACCGGGTGGCAAAAACTTGCCAGACATTCACTTACGGCGGTTGCCTTGGCAACAAGAACCGGTTTGAAACGAAGGAGGCTTGTATCCGAACCTGTGGACAAGGTAGCATATATGTACATGACCTCTGACCCCTGTCACCTTTCATAGTGCTTCATTTCATGCCATTTTCATTCATCACCTAAAGCTTGGCTCTGATTGGCGTACTCTAGGTCGTCACGTGACCAGTGGCGCCTCGAAGCCGTTCATCTTACATCTTCACACCCCTTTTCATTTTCCTTTCATTTTATTTTGCTATGTGTGGACAAAGTACCGTACGTGTACATGACCCCCGACCATTGTCATCTTCCAAAATTACGTCATCTCATATCATTTCCATTCATCTCCCAAAGCTTACCTGTGATTGGCTCATTCTCAGTCGTCACATGAATCATGTCGACAAGGTGCCATTCAACTTCTATCGCTCACCTTTTTTTATTTTCATTTAACTTCATTTTTGCTTTGTGCTCTTTGAACAATTTTTCGATTCACATTATTCTTTTTTTAACCTTTCTGTTTCCTTCATCTCGTATTAAAGATAGACAGTGATTGGCTTGTACCATATTGTCACGTGACCCATGGCGCCACGATGTCGCCCATGTTTGTTTTTACTCGTTTCCTTAGTGTCTCCTATTTCCTTTGTGCTCTTGTCACGAGAATGCCTTTTTGTGTGTAAATTACTATAACTTTCGTGCATCTGAAAAAGACAGATCATAGCGATTGGCTCATTTCATGCTGTCACGTGACTCACGGCGCCGCGTTGTGTTTATCTCACGCCTTTTACGTGTCATCGCTTTGAAAAGGAAAGTGGAATATTTACAATTATTTTGTACAATGGAGAATTGGAGAATGATGTGAGGAATGAAAAGGCAAACGGAGTTTTAAAATGAGAGGAGATAGACTGAGTCATAAAAAGATGAATATAGCACCCATAAACATATTTTGAAATCGACAGGAAAATTAATACCCGTGGGTCCTTCATTGACCAGCATATACCCAGAATCCTATTCTCTAATGAATCGGAAGAATTGAATGGTTGGATATGTAGAATTGTATATTTCTTCTTGGCCCGCAGGCAAAACATTAAGTTGGACTGTGTGAAAGAGTTATTCATATTTACTTAGTATTTACTTTTTAATTGATTGCTCTGCTTAACACCCGTCTACCCGTGACTCATCCATCGTAGCGATCACCATTTCATCCACGGTCCTACCCTTCGTCATCATCCCTTGGTAGTCGTTTATTTTCTTTCGCTAGTTTCTTCCCTCTCTCTCTCTCTCTCTCTCTCTCTCTCTCTCTCTTCGTCTCACTCTCTCCTCTCTTCTTTTTCTTTGCCTCTCTCTCCCTCTCTCTCTCTCTCTCTCTCTCTCTCTCTCTCTCTCTCTCACACCTAACTATTTATCTTCCTCTTTCTCTCTATCAATATTAGTCTTTCTGTTCGGTCTGTCTCCCTTTCTCTCTCCTGTGCTCCATTTCTTCCCTTTACGTTTTTTTGTTAACCCTCTGATGTCTCTGCTATAGGAATTTGTTCTCCTATTTTTTCTTATCACCTCTCTGTCTCTCACACATTTTCCTATCTCTTTCTTGCCTAAATCCCTATTTTATAAAGACTTTATGCTCTTGTTGACCAATCGCCTTAGGCACTTTCTAACACTCTTTTCCTGACTCACACGTCTTAATTCATCTTAATTCGCAGACTTGCAGACGACTATGAGTCTATAATGATGATGCTGACTCCATTATCGAATTATAGTTTGATTTAATAGTCATGAATTCTCTTTTCATTTCATTATAAAAGCTTTTTACCTCCATATTTATTCATATGTGTTGTTGTTCTTTCGAAATAATCTAGTCATACGTCATTTTCATACTCATATTTCAATATATGCGTCATCTTTAGCAACTTTTCACGCCTTCCATTTCATAATTTTCATCATTTGCACCAAATCTCTCTGAATTAGTCATGTTCCGTGTGTCATCTCATTATAGCTACAACAAAATTAAATTAAACATTACCCATGTCTTTACTATTAACATCTCATATTTTCAAAAGTGTTTCATTGTTGTAGGCTCATTCTTTTTTTTCTTTTTTTTGAAACCGTTTTGTATTATCGTCATTCTTTATATTTTCGCCATTACTTTGTTTATTATCGTAATGAGTATAACAGTATTTTCATCCGCCAGTGTATTGTTACTGTGTTGCATATGTTTATTTCTCAATCACAGTTCACGCTTATGACGTCATCGCTTTGTCATCACCTTTCTTTATTCCTGTATACTTCTTTTGTTTTGTTTTGTTTTCTTCTTGGGGGGGGGGGGTATTATTTGGGGCTTTATCATTTCAATCATCCATCTTCAAATGTCATTCTCATCATTTCCTACGTGTTGTATTCCGTTTCCTATTCTTGTTATTTTCTATTATATCTATTGTATTTTTTATGAATATTGTGTTAGAAAATGATTTGTACTACTGAATGAAAGAATAATGAAGTAGAATCTGGAAATCGAAATTTTTACAACTTTCATAATAAAATCTTCCATTTTCTGTATGCACATTATGTAGAGTGCACTGTTTCTTTAGTTCATGTGACTTTCTTATTATTCATAGTAGCAAACTTTCTCATAGTTGGAAACATTCATTAAGAGAAAGGAAAAAAGAAGAATAGAGAAAAGAGAGGAGAAAGGAAATAAGAATAAGGATAGGGAAGAACGAAGATTCCATAAAAATGGTCTCAGGAGTGGGATTAGAACCCACGCATTTCTTTCTCGGATTTATGTTCAACTATTTCCTTTTATCCTCCCCGATCCCTTAGAAAGCACAATAGCTCCCGGTATGTTGAGTACCACATTGGATATCACTACCAATGAGGCGACCACGCCCCAGCCCCTCCCAAAGGTTCTTGAACGCCCCATGGACCAGACGGTGTTTGAAGGCGAGACTGTCACTCTGAACTGCTTTGCATCGGGGGCGCTGGAGTATACGTGGAGGAGGATAGCTGGTCCGATGCCTGAACATAAGTAAGATTTGATTTGATTTTATATTATATGGGGGGGGGGGGGTTCACAAATATCCTAAGTCTAACTTAACTCTAAGTTGGACTTTGGACTTTAAAGTTATGGAGAGCCATTTTTGGCCTTAAAATAAATATATTCAATAGAGAAAATTGAAGTATTTTTGATTTTTTTTTTTTATAAGTTGCACATCAAGAACATGAAATCTCCTTGATTACAGAAATATGAATGATTTGAATCAACATGTTATGCCTCTTAAAATAACTGTTACAAAATATTTTCAAAGATGCTAACGGCTTTCCATATTTGTTAAGTCCAACTTAGAGATAAGTTCAACTTATAATCTTTTTGAAACACCTCCCTGATGTGATTTGATTATATTTTATTGTATAAATGTATAAATTAAACAAAGTATTACACTGGAAGTCACGTAACATGTGCGATGCTGGAAATCTAATAATCTGATTTAATTTGAATCATATGATTTGCTTTTGCTTCAATTTGTTTCCATTTGTTTTTTTTTTTTTTAATTCTTTATTTCGTTCCTTCCTTTTCATTTATTGTCGTCCTCAGAATTTTCTTTAATCTATTAAAATCGATTTTGAGGCAGTTTGACCTAATTGCAAGTATCAAATCAAAGGCCATGAATGTTATTAGGTCTTACTCTTTATCAACGTTTATACAAAAAAGATTATTCAATTATATCATTATGATCATACTTCCCGGAAAGATCGACTTACATAATTGAAACTTGCTTTTGCCATAAGAAGTCAAATTTTCTCGCTAAACATTAAGAAAATGTTTATCCGTATACTGCAAAATCACATTGTAACCCAATACATAAAGATGAGACGGCAACCGATAAACTTTGGCTATTTCCAGTACAATTATTAGGATGTGGCATAATGTTTCAAAACAAGAAATTGTGAAAATATGCTTTCAATTATCTTGAAACATGTCTGATATTTATTTCTGGTAATTCGAGGAAGATGTGTAGGAGGCGCATGATTCCCAACCGAAAGGTGATAGCGGATAGAGATCATTTAATGTAATACCTCGGAAGTAAAATAAAAACTGAATCAAAATAATGTGCAACATGATCTTAAACATGTTAAAGAGAATATTGAGTTCTGGTAAAGATACACAAATTTGGGATTCCTCATTCTCTTTATGTCATTGTATAAGAATACCATGGTGGAAATTTCCCCTTAAAGGAGTGATCTTGGAATGGCCCGATATTCAAAACATTTAATGTAGGCCTAATACCTCGGAAAATCAAATAAGAACGGAATTAATCACAATATGTGCAACGTGACCTAAAACATGTTAAAGAGAATATTGAGTTCTGGAAAGATGAACAATAATTTGTGAACTTTCGTCATTCTCTTGAAGTCATTCTGGAAGAATATCAGGGTGGAAATGACCCCTAAAAGGAATGTTCTTTAAATGGACTCATATTCAAAACATGACCGGAAACAGCTTAGAGGTTTCGACCAAACTTTCAAACCACATGTGTGTACAGGTCCATACACCCGTTTCTGTGTGGATATCCTCAATAAGATTGAGCCAGATTCTTTCCATATTGATCATTCCAAAACCTGAAAGTATTATTTGTGTTTGTGTACAACACAATAGACCGGTTTACTAACATATTCAAATTTCATGCATACTTTTAAACAAAGTATGTTCTTGACAATGTATATCTTGCCCGAGGCTTGCCCAAGGCATGCCCGACATATCAGCAAGTAAAATATCCAGTTAAGACTGGATTCCAAGTATTGTAGTTCATTCATTACTAACAGGTTAATGGAATAACTTGTCACTAGGTCCCAAAGGAAAACAACACCCATAATTGTTGGCATGTAAAGTTAGTAAACTGGTCAATAATTTAACCCCGATTGTCCCAGACAATTTCTTTCACAATTCAATAGGAAGACCGGTACTCAACTTTATCTTTAACGTTCCAAGAACACGATTCAAATTATGAAATCAACTTTATAACGAGTTTTGTCATCTGAATTAAGATTGACAATCGAGACGTTTCTTTGAACGACTTGACGGAAATTAGATGAAATCGGAGAAGGGATTATATTTCTCTCTCTTCCTTTTTGTGAATATCAAAGGTAAAAATCTTGTACCAGGAACGCCTCGAGAGGCATATTAGTCATTCCTGAAAAGTTGAGTGATTTGCTTTTAATGGGGGAAAGAAGTCCTATTTGAAATGCACTGTCCGGAGAAGTAATGAGAATTTTTGACATTGTATTTTTTCCATGTGTCATGGTTAATATAGTGAGACTGATTGTTTGCCGGAGGGGGATATTGATGAGACATGTATCTTTGCCTCTCTATCTTGTCATCTGTATCTCCCTCTCTCTCTCTCTCTCTCTCTCTCTCTCTCTCTCTCTCTCTCTCGCGGGCTTTTGGGGCTCTCTCCCTCTCTCTATCTCTCTTCACACTTTGCTATAGTTTCTTTCCTTTTTTCCCAATCCACCTCCTCCCTCTTTCTTTCTCTCTGTGACTTTTCTACCTTGCTCGCCATACTGCAATCTCGTCCTATACCCCTCTCTTCCCCCTTTTTTCCTCTCACATCTCTCTCTCTCTCTCTCTCTCTCTCTCTCTATCTCTCTCCCTCTCCCTCTCCCTCTCTCTGACTTTCCGGTTTGTTTGTCAGTTACCCTATTTCTCTATTTCGTATTCTAGGAGCATTCTTCTTTCAATCTTACCCCTTTATTCTCTCCGGTCCATTTTCCTCACTTTTCTGTCATAATTCTCTCCCTCCCTATTTAAGTATTCTATGAAGGTCAACGTCAGTTCACAATTATAGAACTATAGTTTACTGAATATAGATACTATAATGGAGGGGTAGACTTTCATGGCTTGTCTTTGTTCTTGTGATAATCACGTCCGAGTAGTCCACATGGGAATTTTACCTGGAAAATATAGCTTGAGGCTTGAGGGGAGTAAGGGGTTTGTACAATTATGACTTGATCAAAAATTGTTTCGACTGACGAAACTCTTGTGCTCGAATCAAAAACATATTCTTCACCGAGCACGAATGTTCTAACTTCGTCCACTTCATGAGGGGGCATACTTCCCTCTCCCCCATTTCCAGATCCCGCACGCTTTCGAGTTATCTGTCTAGAGTTCAAAGACCCATGATTAAATGTAGATTATGGAATAACAATTTGTCAGTATGTCGGTTTGAAAGTTTAGGGTGAAACCAATCTGTCCATGGCCTATTTATTGTAATGGATGACTAGTGCTCTCCTGAAGAGGTTATATTCGTGACAGACAACTATGCCGGCTGATATTGGAGTTGTAGTCGATGTAACAGACATTGATCTTCAGGTTCAGGTTCATTACAAGAAAACATATTAGATAGTCCCGGTTACAGATGTTTTGTGGTTGGATGTTTATTTGTAGTATTGGCTCGTTTGTTTCTTGTTCTGATTATTTACACAATAATAAACTTAAGACACTTTTTCGAACAAATATCGGGAAGTCTGGAACTTGACTCAAAACATGGGTGATTGAATATTTGAAACAGTGCTTTTAATTTTGGTTCTCTCTCTTTTTTGTATCTGTCGTCTACATGTTTATAAATTAATGTTTAGTGCAAAAAACGAATAAATACTTTATTTGTCCTCTCTCTCTCTCTCTCTCTCTCTCTCACTCTCTTTCTCCCTTCCTTTTTTTTTATAATCATTTTCTGTTATCTCTCTTCTTATACACTGTCTCTAACTTCAATTCTCTTTTCATCTTGATTTACCTGTGTATAAACATATAGTTCTCACTTTTCATCACGTTTTCTCTTCACGTCATCAGGATTCTCGCCGAAGAATACAGCAGAGAGGGCGCTATTCTGATAATTGCTGACATGATGCCCGAGGATGCTGGGTTATACATGTGCATCGCCGAGAACCAGGCAGGCGTGGAGGAGAGTGTTGCCTCCATTACAGTTTTAGGTATAAAACGAATATAAACGCAAGAAAAACAAAACAAAAACATCAAGAACAACATAAGTAAGCAAGAAACAAAACTATATTTGTGTGTACAAACACGTGGATGGTGTACGTCCAGATGCTGGTGATGATGAAAGGTGTTCATTATAAGGTGGTTGTGGTTTTGTTGTGGTGGATATGATGATGGTAATGTCGATGATGGTGGAGATGATGATGGCGATGATGAAGATGATGAAGAAGAAAGAGATGATGGTAATAACAATGATGGAGATGATGGTGGTAATGATGATGGTGATGATGATCATGGTAATAAGGATGATGATGATGATGATGATGATGATGATGATGGTGGTGATGATGGTGATGATGATGGTGATGATGATGATGGTGATAAGGATGAGGATGATGATGATGATGATGATGATGGTGATGGTGATGATGATGGTGATGATGATCATGGTAATAAGGATGATGATGATGATGATGATGATGATGATGGTGATGATGATGGTGGTGATGGTGATGATGATGATGATGATGATGATGTTCATCATGATCATGATGAGGATTATGAGGATGGGGTTGAAGGAGGTTCTGATGTTGCTGTAAGTGATGGTGGTGATGATGAGGATTGGGCTGGTGGTGAGATTGTAGTGACAGTATTGATGATTGAGATATGATATGATATCGATGGAGATATGTAGCTATACATACGTCATATAAACCCAAGTAATGCAATTGCTACTTATTTATCACCTGAGAGCCGTTCTCATCTCTGTTGGCATTCCCCCTTGTTTTCCTATTTTGTAGTTCCTTTTGTAGTTACAATTTGTTAATTGAATTACTCATTATTCCTAAGAACCATTTAAAGGTCCATAATTGTCAGGCATTGATTTTAAGTGGACCCCTCTGTTTCCAAAATGTATTCCTAAATTGTTGTAATTGTTCATAATTGTAATGTTTTTTCTGAAAGCAGAAATAAATTGGTTTGGAATTGAAATATATTCCTCCTTCTTTGCCAACCAGTACCACCTAGGATCGTCAAGTTTCCCGATAGTGCGTTGATCATCCAGGGGGAGACCCTGGAACTGAAATGTGAATTCACGGGGGTTCCCCCTCCCAAGGTTTACTGGGAGAGGGAGGATGGCCAATTCGTTTCACAAAGGTGAGATTTCTATTCAAATGTATTCAAATATATTCAATTCATTCAATTTATTCAAATTTCTTGTGTAGTAAAAAGCCTCGTATTTCTTATCTGGTCACAGGTATTGGAATTATGATCGATATTTCAATTTATGTACTTCAAAATGTCAATGTAGTACAAAGCATATTTAGAAACGTTTTTCATTTTATATGAAATCCAGCCAATGGTTGCAGTAAATAAATGAATGATTGAATGATCAGCAAAAAAGGCATATTCTGTAAATATCACATTCTTTGAGTCAAATTACTTACATCTATTATATCATGTGCTACGAAGATGTATATCAAAAAGTCTTTCCTTTTTTATCAATTTTGAAATTCGTACTTATTCTAGATTATGTCATTAAAACATTGCTTTCGAATTTGTATTGAAATTTATTGATTACTTTAAAACCTATTTGCACTAGTTTGGCATGGAAGGATTAGACCTCCCTTGGTGGTCACTAGCAGGTGATTATCTCATCAAATCAGCTCTCAATTAACATAAGAAAAGGGGAATCATGGGGGACTAACGGGTACCGCTTAGGCATTGTTGGCTACATAGAGGGCGCAAGTAGCTCCAAGTAGTGCACTACTTACAGCTACTTGCGCCCTCTATAAAACAAACAATGCCTAATCGGTGACCATTGGTACCCCATGATCCTATTTTTCTTATGTAATAGAGAGCTGAGTTGATGAGATAACCACCTATCATGTGAGCTTGCTGGGTGGTCTAATCCCTCCTGTACACTAGTACAGATGGGCTTTAAGAGATTTGACAAAATAAGTTTCATTGCATTTACCCTGAGACATCATGTTTAATATTTCACCAGGGTGAACGGTACGGAGTCGACCGTCATCATAAGCAACATCAATGACATCCAGACTGGTATGAGGTTCACCTGTGTAGGACGGAACGAAGCCGGGCTCGACAAGCGATTCATTGACGTCGAAGTGAAAGGTTAGTGCAAAAGGGGCGTTAAGGGTAAAAGAGGAGACAGTATGCGTGAATGCGATGTAAAGGGCGTTTGTCTTTAAAGACCGTCAATACTACTGGGCCAGAAGGGATTATACCACAAATCAAGGTCACTGACGGGTGGCTATCTCATTAACTCAACTCTCAACTAACATAAGAAAAAGAGGATCATGGGGGACCAACATGCACCGATTGGGGAAGTTTTCTATATAGAGGAAGCAAGAAGCTACAAGTAGGACAGTAGGGCTTTAAATGTTGTATGTTCAGATCTAGAAGGGCATTCATTCTGCATTAAATTATGAGTAAATGTCTTTCTGGCTCTATACAAACGATATGGTATATAAATGTCAATGGTATGAGGTTCACCTGCGTAGGACCTCGACAAGCGATTCATTGACGTCAAAGTGAAAGTGAGTGCAAAAAGGGCGTTAAGGAGTGAGAGGGGAGAGAAAGTATGTGTGAATGTGATGTTGAGGGCGTTTGTCTTTACACATCGTCTGTTCAGACCTTGAAGGGCATTCATTATGTGCAGAATGATATAAGGTAATGAATTTCTGGTTCCATACAGACAATATGGTATTTTGATTTAACTGGTATGGGGGTTATCTGTGAAGGAAGGGATGAAGCTGGGCTCGAAAAGGATTCATGTTTTTAGATATCGAACTACAATATTGAGATCCTAAGCACTTTAACGCAGTAGACTGCCAGGGAAACGTTGATATAATAATTATTTAGAGCGTGATTGATGCTTTTTGTTAAAGGCATCTTCAATGCAATCTTCTTAATTTAATATTTCCACAGCGCTTAGAGACTTAATTGTAATTTGCGCTATATAAAAACTGAGTATTATTATTATTATTATTATTTCACATTTCTTTCCGTTCTCCCATATAGTGCCGCCATATTTCACCGCATTTGCTCGCAACCGAACGCTGAATGAGGGAGAGACAGCAGACTTCTTATGCCAGGCAGAGGGGACAAGACCCTTGACGATAACGTGGTACAAGAATGGTGAACCGGTAAATATTGCCACTAAAGGGGTCCTAAAACCATTCATTTTATGATGTTATCAAGTCATTATATCTTGATTAATGTACTATTACCTGCGGTATGAAAGCCTTAATCCTAAATCTCTTTGGAAGCACGATTAGGCATGTCATGTGATATGCCCTATACAAGAAGTGTATTAGTGTATTTCAATTCAAGAAAATACATTAAAAATGCGAAGGTAATTACTTAAAATACATCTAGATAGCTCTTTGAAGGAAAAATATAAATATTTACAGTAGGCCTACAGTATAATATAGAACAATTTTTTGTTTAAACGGTATAATGGGAACTAGGATGGCCATACAAAACAATTGGGGTTTTGAGGCGGCCGCCCGAACAAAGCATAAATGTCGTGTATTGCAGTACATGTTCGACATAATTTTTAATTCACAATAATAATTGGTTTAAATATAACTTTATCATGAATATCATAACATAAGGAAACAAAGACAAACAAACACACACAAACAAACATATAAGCAAAAACCTAATTCTTCCTTGATTGACATCATCTAGCTTGTAGCGGATGGTGTTCGAACCATCTTCTTCGACAACGGAACCAGCTTCCATATCACTTCGACCACGCCCAGCGACTCTGGACGATACACCTGCTCGGCATCCAATACCGTCGGGCAGATCGTGGACGATGTCTACTTCCAAGTCATCGGTAAGTCCGATAAAAAAATTAATACAAATATAATTAAACTAAATAAAAAATATAGCCACAACAAAAAGGATTAATCAATCTTTCCGAAAAAGAGGGAGAAAAGCTTACTCCCATTGATATAAAACATATTGGAGATCCTTGCTAAATTGAATATTGAATAGAGTGTAATAGAAAACAGATTTATGAACTAATTTTTCAGAATAAAAAAAAAATAACGACTTTTATATTATAATGATATATTTCAAAACATATGACAAATTTAAAAGAAAATATATTTCAAGTTTAAACCAAAATCAGATGGGAATATATGAATCTTGAAAGAAATTGGCAACCAGGTGTGTGATAATGGAAATACAATTCAAACTTTAGTTTCATCCTAACCCTTCCTTATTCTTAAATACGGAACTCTTACAGATAGAAAATTTTAAAAATAGCCAAATTAATTTATCGGTTCATGAGAACGCCGACGAAATATGAAATATACAATTTTGGTTACTTTTGATTTTCCAAACTATTTTTTAAAATCTTTTCAGCTTCGGCAGCTTTACCACGAATCACCGAAAGCCCGTCCAATGCAACCATCTACATTGGACAATCCATACGTTTCCATTGCCAAGCATCTGGCGACCCTGTTCCCACAGTAAGCTGGTTGGTGGACGGTTTTACTATCGGTGTCCCTCCTCTTGATCGAGACATGCGGTATTCGTTCAATGGCACCGATCTCGTCATTGATCACGTCAATGTGCGCGATGCCGGGAAGTATACGTGTTTGGTCACCTCGCCGCATGGCATGGAGCGAGTCAGTGCACAGCTGCGTATTAGAGGTGAGATTAAAGGAGGGGTAATGGTGGTGGAGGTGGAGTTGGAGGTGGAGCTGGTGGTGGTGGTGGTGGTGGTGGTGGTGGTGGTGGTGGTGGTGGTGGTGGTGGTGGTGGTAGTGGTGGTGGTGGTGGTGGTGATGGTGAGTAGGTTGAGGAGGAGGAAGGAATAATGGGGATGATGATTATAATTACGATTGTGATGGTAATCAATAATAGTCGAGATGACGAAGAAGATGATAACAGGAATGATAGTGATAATGATGATGATAATGGTGATGGTGAGGGGGTCGAGGAGCAAGAATGGTGATGGTTATTAGAATTATGTTTGCTGATGGTAACACAAAATAACCAAGATGACGAAGAAGATGATAACAGTAAAGATAGTGATGATGATGGTGATGAAGGGGAGGATGAGGAGGAATGGTGATGTTGATTATAATTACGATGGGTGATATAAATCAAGAATAGTCGAGATGACGAGGAAGATAATTACAGTAATGATAGTGATGATGGTGATGATGATGGTGAGGGGGTTTGGGAGGAGGAATGGTGATGATGATTATAATTACGATGGTGATGGTAAATCAAGAATAGTCGAGATGACGAAGAAGTCAATAACCGTAATGATAGTGATGATGATAATGGCGACATTGATGATGATGATGACAATGAATACAAAATAGTAATGATGATGAAAGTGTTGACAATTTTTTACCGTGATTACGATGATGGTGATTATTGAAGCTTAAGACAATAGTCAAAGATGATCGTAATTACAATAATGGTGATGATGACTAGAATGATGATTAAATGGGGATGATAAACACCGACCATATTACATCTGCTCAAATGCCAGCTCCTCCATTAGAAGGACTTTGTTCATGCTCTTACCATCTTTTCCCTCTCTCCTTGTCTTTTCCTCATCCCTTCTTCTCATCCTTTCTCCTCCAACTCAGAACCCAAACTCGAAATGGAAACTGCCATCAGCGACACCAACGTCATCATCGGCGACGATCTCGTGCTTACTTGCGAGGCGAGCGGCGAGCCCGAACCCAGTCTGACCTGGTACCGCAACGGTCTCCCAATCAATGAAACCCTTCAGAGATTCTCCCTCGAAGAGAACTCCCTGATCATCCCCATCCTCACCTCCAAGATGGGCGGTTCCTACAAGTGTATCTATGACAACGGGGTGCTGACGGCGTCATCTTCGGCGATGGTAGAGATCCTTGGTAGGTTGACGTTACATCGCGTTGCGTTATTTCATGTTACATTATGTTATGTTACATCAGCGACTGCGCTAATTTTTGAGTTACGCGTTACACAATATTATTGTATGTTATCTTAAGTCTTCTCATGATTCATCATGTCAATAACATTAAATTGTGTTCATTGTGCTATGTTCCGTCAAGCTGTCCCACCACCCGTCATTTTTCTTATCATTTCAGGGTGCTTGCTTTTATGATCAAAGTAAAAGAAAATAATGCTACAAACGTGTTGTTTTATGTGTATTTTTATATTTTCGCTTAATTTTTTTTTACTGCTCTTTCACTAATGCATGTACTTCAATTGCACATGAGATGTGAATTGGCGCAGAACAGCGTCAGGGTGGTATTTGACGCACAATACAAAGAGTGATCGTGAAATTAACAGTGCAAATATTGTGGTGATTTAATTCTGTGTGGGTTGGGTGCATTCACAGAGCTGCTTATTGGGGTAGTAATTCCAATCCAAATGACGTCATATGTGCAACCAGCTTTGTCAAATCGAAATGAGAAATTAAATGAGCAATCTTGCATGTAATAAAGCAACCACAGCAGCACATCACTGAACCAAAATGTTTTTCTCAGAAGGTAATTTAAGCAGTGACCTAGCTTCATGGGCACCAGGAGAAAGGAAATGTGGACTGTTCTTTTTTAAACCGCATCATTTTTTTGTCTGTCATGTAGAAGCGGACATTTCCATATTCTTTTTTAAGTTCTCTGCCAATACTAAACTTAAAACTTTGATTTTCATTAGTTTTTGTCACTACATGTTGAGGCAAAATCGGTGTTTTCGGGTAAAATTAACCTTCATTCGCTCATTCTTCACAGCAGAGCCTACTGCTATCACTCCTGCATCATCAATGCCGCCCCCTATGTCAAACTCAACGACAGCCACGCCGCAGCCATCGGGCACGAGTAAGCATGAGAAAATAGCATGTAATTGCAATCCCGCCTTAAAACAAAGTCAAAACAAAATCATTTTGCTCATATTTCTTTTCCTTCTGCATTGCAAGTTCGGGAGATGAAAAGTATGACTGATTTTTGGTGCCGTTGCAATTGTATTTGAAATTGTAATTTGTATATGGAAAATGGGACCAAAACGATGGAGAAGAAGAGAGAAGAAGAAGAAGAAGAAGAAGAAGAAGAAGAAGAAGACAAAGAGAAGACAAGGAGAAGAAGAAGGAGGAAAGAAGACGTAGGGGAGGACGGAAGTTTTTTTTTTTTTAAAGTAATCAATTATAATTTGAGGAAAAAAAGTTTGTGTCAATAAATTCTAAAATAAATCAGTGAAAATAAGCTTCTGTGTGAAAGAAGACAATGTTTATTGTGGATGGACTGCTCCACGATAGCATAATTAAACAAGCATGCTAGTCTGATCGTGATTCTTCAGATTCAGAAATACGTGATTCATAATTAAATTATTCTAATATATGATAAACCAATGCAATATTTTCCTTAATTTGCATGAATCTATTGTAGATGATATGTCGGATACTGATTTGTCAGAACTTGGAACCGCTCCCTCATCTCTAATGGAACTCAAACTACGTCGCTATGACGTCACAGACACAGGTATACCAGACCTGTTTCGGGGATGGGCCGACGTCCAGGGACAGGGCGCCGCCAACGATTATTGCAGGTAAGCAAATCAAATGGATATTTGTGAACAGTATATACAAACAATTTTTGCAAGACAAATCTTCCCAAGTTTTCTAAAAGTGCACATAAAGTTCATATTTCAGTACAGCTGTTATATTTTAAGGATGATAATTGGCTTTCTCGTGTACAGTTGATTGAATAGCATTGAGTCTGTTTGATCATAATCATAAATCAATAATTCAACTTTCTATATATTTACAATTATCCAGCAAGGTATAAAAAGAGATAACTGAGAGAAGTGTATTATTTTCCACTTGATAATTATTTTGCTGCCTCCAGACTTTCAAATGAATCACTGTGTTAAATCATGCCCTTCACTCATGCCGCAACACGCAGTCAAATATTGCCTCCGATTATGTCATTGAATTAATAACAATGACTTTGTAGTGCTTGATGTTTATCTGAGAAAGAAATAAACATTGTTTTTTTAAAGCACCACTGCACTACTTACAGCTACTTGCGCCATCTTTATAGCAAACAATGTCTATTCGGCGACAGTTGGTCCCCCATGATCCCCTTTTTTAATGTTAATTGAGAGCTGATTTGATGAGATAAACACCTGTCAGTGACCCTGCAGGGAGGTCTAATCCCTCCTGAATAAACTAATGTAGAAGGGTTTTAAATATTGATCTAATATTGGAATCTTATGTGCATTCAGAGTGATTGAGCCAGTGGAGGGACAGTACCAGCTCTCCTGTGTCCTCGCCGGGAGTGAAGGGGAGGTGAACTACACGACGAATCTAGGCTTCGAGATTGGTGAGAGAAATACCTGGTATATGAAGGATGAGGACGGCGATGGAAGAGACGATTACTGCAGGTAAATACTCCCTTGAATACACTTTGTCTAGATCTAGTCCAAGTTCTTGGTTTAGGTCATGTTTAAGAAACGTGTTACTAAAATCAAATCATAAATTTCCATGTATGAAGGATGAAGATCGTGATTGCAGGTTGGTTCTCTCTTGAATATACTTTGACATTCAAGTTCATATTCAAGTTCAAGTTATACTTCAAGTTCAATTTCAAGCTCATTTCAAGAACATTTTAAAAAGACATGGTTCAGAATTAGCATATTTTATTGAAAGGATGAAGTATAAACATAAAAGAGATGATTACTGCAGGGAGATTCTTCCTTGAATACAATTTATGTAGAGGTGTCGTGGTCGAGTGGATACATCGCCAGACTGTCGATCACAAGGTCCGCGGTTCGAATCCTGCCGCGGCACTAATGTCCTTTGGCAAGACATTGATCTCCATTTGCCACACGGCACCCAGGTGAAGTAAATGGGGACCGATAGGAAGGAACTCCTTGAATGCTGTGAGCACCGAAATCGGTAGCCTAGCAGAGCCGGGGTAATATTGGAGCGCTTTGAGCACCCTGCAGGGTGGATTTGTGCGCTATATAAATATCCAATATTATTATTATTATTATCCCTCAAGATAAGCTGAAATCATGTTAATAGTTGGTGCTAAAATACAATTTAGAATTAAAGTTCTAATCATCCGTGTATGAAGGACGAAGATTAAGATTGCAGGTACAGATACTCCATTGAATGCACTTCCTAATTTTCAAGTTTATGATCTAGTTTAAAATCTAGTTTAAGGTCAAGTTTAAGAGCAATCGTGCTTCAAAATTAATGGCCTAGCATCAGTATACGAAGAATTTAACTGGATATGGCAGGTAGGTTATAGTTCATGACACAGGCTTATGTTTACGCCCATTGATTTACCTTGAAATGATATTAAACCGTATGTGCTCTAAACTGTGTCGTAACGAGCGTGTCATTTTCATTTATTGTGTTAAATAAGTACATAGAATGATACAATGATTTAAACCTTGTTATTCTCCAGATACATTCGTCATTTAAACCTTGTCATTCCCCATATGAATTTATCATTTGAACCATGTCATTCCCAAGATGCATTCATCATCTAAACCCTGTCATTCCCCAGATGCATTTATCATTTGAACCATGTCATTCCCATGATGCATTCATCATCTAAACCGTGTCATTCCCCAGATGCATTCATCATTTAAACCTTGCCATTGCTTAGATGCATTCATCATTTAAACGTTGTCATTTTCCAGATGCATTCATCATTTAAACCCTGTCATTCCCCAGATGCATTCATCATTTGAACCATGACATTCCCAAGATGCATTCATCATCTAAACCCTGTCATTTCCCAGATGCCTTCATCATTTAAACCTTGCCATCGCTCAGATGCATTCATCATCTAAACCCTGTCATTCCCCAGATGCATTCATCATTTCAACCTTGTCATTCCCCAGATGCATTCATCATTTGAACCATGTCATTCCCCAGATGCATTCATCATTTGAACCATGTCATTCCCAAGATGCATTCATCATTTAAACCTTGCCATTGCTCAGATGCATTCATCATTTAAACCTTGCCATTGCTCAGATGCATTCATCATCTAAATCCTGTCATTCCCCAGATGCATTCATCATTTAAACCTTGTCATTTTCCAGATGCATTCATCATTTAAACGTTGTCATTCCCCAGATGCATTCATCATTTAAACGTTGTCATTTTCCAGATGCATGCGAGAAGCTGGCCAAGGAAGATGGGTCTACTGCACCAAGGCGGGGGCAAACGGTTTCTATGGCAACCCTGATGCGGAGGACTTTGAGACGAACGAGGTATCGTTCCGCGCCCCCGGACCGGGTGAGGAGCTGAAGAAATGCAGAAAGAGGAGAGTGGACCCTTTCTTCGGATTGCCAGAGACACTGGAATAAAAGGGCGTTGCCTCTCTTCAATTCTGATTAAAAGACTTTAAATTTAAAGAAGGATGTGAGCAACTGTTCGTGGTAGCAGAAGATGTTTTTTGTCAGAACTCAGATGAGAAGCTGAGGTGTCTTTGAACTGAATATAAACGCTGGAGCAATGGACGCTGTGCCTCATTTCGGATAGCTGAAATTTTTTGTAACAATAATGAGATGTGAGCGTCTAATACCAGGATGTTACATCGTTTCCTTCTCCACATTTTTTTCATTCATCTTATTTATTCACTTTGGGGGAAGCTGACGACAGAAATATCCGTCTGTTAGAACGAAGTCAAGTGTCAGTGATGATGATATGCCATACCCGGCTCTCTTACATTGGTCAGTTGTGATATATAAGAGTATTTTTTAAAATGGAAACTCCAGGGGAATACCCATCTGTACTAAGCACTTTTCCTCTTCCTGATCCACGACCCCCGACCCCCCCCCCCCCAAAAAAAAAATCAATTTAATATTCCTTTAGTTGCGGTTTCACTACCCCCCCCCCCCCCCCCCCCCCCCGCCCTCCCCCCTCTGTTTAACCCTTTATGGGCGTTGGTAGACTAATGGAGCAAACAGTGAACTGCCGCTGTCGACTTTTGTCACTTATGCAGTGTATATACTCCAATCAATGTGGCAGGCTCGGGTTTCAATCTGCAGCGGGTAAAATAGTTAATACTTTGTGAATATGCCATTAAGAATGCGGCGTGGGGGTATATGACTATCTTCTTTTCAGTTGTCCCTAAAGAATCCCAATGGACTTCTTTCCAACCTGCGTTATGAATTAATAAAAGATATTGTGCTAAGCCTCAGAAACAACCCTGCAGCTTTTAGACGTGACTTTGTTCTGTTATCAATATTAATTAAACCAGTGAAGGTATTATGAGAGTCGTATTTAACATGTTTCTATATCAGCATTATAATTGTAAAATACCGACTTAAAACTATGTTTACCATGAATAATAATAATAAAAATGTACAGGAGTAACACTTTAGTCTATCCTTCTAGGAGCCATGTAAGGGGTCACTTCGTTTTGGAGTGGGATTCCTCGCTAAAACTATTCGAATCTACTAACTCTCAAAACAGCTATCAAACCATTAGTATGGGATGAATTCAAATTACTTCGAATCATCGGGTCATCGCGTCGGGTCGGGGGTAATTTTTATAAAATAACCCTCTCATCTACAAATGGTCTGTTCCACTTTACACGACACTTTACACGACACACGAAAACTCTACGGTAAATCTTCCAAGGGTCGCGTCCTTATAACATGCATTTGCACATAACTTTCCGCTTTCGTTTCACGAGAGGTCATGTAACGCGACCACCTGACCAGACACGGTGATCCCATGACTCGCAGTAAGCCAATCGCGTGGCCAGAACTGAGCGTTATCTATACCAAGCAAAATATGACAATCTGGACCTATCAAAGACAGTATGATTTAAAGTGTACATATTTGTTAGATTGAAGAGTGGATGTAATGGTTGATGAAACGTAAAGTTCAACTAGTATTCCTTATTATTATAAAATGTTATAGTTCTTGATGGATGTTTAATCTGATAGAACGCGTTTCCCAAATGGATGTCCTAGATCGTACATAATCAAAGTCTTCCAGAAGGTGGTTCTCTTAAATACCAATGTAAAGTTTGTCATGTACATTAAGTGTATGTTAAATGTAATGTAAGTTACATTTAATTTCTAATAAGTCCATATCACATTTTTAATACCAATGTAAATTATACATGTTAGTTGTTTGTTATGTATTACGTGTAAGTCCACGTAATGTACAAACGCCAATGATAAGTTAAAAGTATATTGGAATTCCGCATATAGGAGGCAAAAGGGGGAACAAGTTGTAGATGCTTTATACTGGAATGTTTTCTGACTTTTTGTATTCGCTTATCATTGTACATTACGAGTTCGTAGCTTCATAAAGAGGTGATGTTTTATAACTGCTTTCTATAACATGCAATGGCTCATCAAAGAAAAATACTTAATGAACCAATTCGTGTACATATATTTGTCTTAGGACCTTTCTACTTATCATTGTTGTACAGTATTATTGTTTCTATTAAAATATCTTTGATATACCTCAAAGTGAGATGTCGTCTTCCATTCACACTTTTACTATCGTTTTACACTGCCTATATTATATAGGCCTTAGGGCTTGTAACGACCACTTGAGTAACATTCACACTTATACTATTATTATACTATCATTTTACACGACCTATAACATATAGGCCTTAGGGCTTGTAACGATCACTAAAGTAAACATGTTGTCTTTCATTCACACTTTTACTATCATTTTACACTCACTGCCTATGGGCCTTAGGGCTTGTAACGATCACTCAGATAAATATGTTGTCTTTCATTCACACTTTTACTACCATTTTACACTGCCTATATTCTATAGGCCTAAGGCCCTTTTACACTTTCACGGATCGCATCACGGATCATCCCGGATCTTAATCCGGGGTGTTCCGGCGTGCGACACCACGATTTCTTCTCGATGCCGGTGTGGATACGTTCCGAACTGGGTGTATACACGGGCAAGTACGGTGTCTCCACGGACAGACAAGGTAGCAACGCGGACCACGCCGGAAACACATACGGAGCTAACACGGATTTCAAGGAAGAGCACGGAGGCTACTGGGTTGTCTATTGGGATATCTCCGGAATGTTGACGGGTGACTTGAGCTTGTAGGCGCTCATTTGATATACGGAATTTCAAACCCGGATGAAACCGGTGTTAATTCGGACTTCCCGGTGTCTACACGGACTGTCCCGGATGTATTCGGCGGCTACACGGAGGTACACGGTGCCTACAGGGAAGAGGACGGATTGTAAAAATTAAGCAAGCTTAATTTTTCCCCGGATATGCCGGTACGCCAAGGATCACGCCGGATGCCTCCCCGGTGTATACACGGTAATGCCGGAGATAACACGGATGATCCCGGAGCGACGATCCGGGATGATCCGTGATGCGATCCGTGAAAGTGTAAAAGGGCCTTTAGGACTTGATAACGATCACTCAAGTAAACATGTATTCAATTCACACTTTTACGATCATTTTACACTGCCCATATTCTTTAGGGCTTAGGGCTTGTAACGATCACTCAAGTAAACATTGTCTTTTATTCACACTTTTACTATCATTTTACACTCACTGCCTATAATCTATAGGCCTTAAACATAATGTCATTCATTCACAATTTTACTATCATTTTCTACTGCCTATATCGGACCTTAGGGCTTGAGACTCTCACTCAAGTAAACATGTATTCAATTCACACTTTTACGATCATTTTACACTGCCTATATTCTATAGGGCTTAGGGCTTGTAACGATCACTCAAGTAAACATGTCTTTTATTCACACTTTCATTATCACTTTACACTGCCTTTATTCCATAGGCCTTAGAGCTTGTCGCAATCACTCAAGTAAATATGTTGGCTTTTATTCACACTTTTACTATCATTTTACACTATATAGGCATTAGGGCTTGTAACGACCACTCAAGTGAACATGTCTTCTATTCACACTTTTATTATCATTTTACACTCCCTATAGTGTTCTATAGGCCTATAGACTTCAGATGTAAGTCTTCGTTTGAAGAAGCAAGAAGCAAAGTCCCTCATCTGAAGGATTGTGCTTTATAGATTTGAAAGTTGGAATTTGAAGGCATCAGACATCACGAGAATCAATGCCCTTGAAATGTGTATTTAGAGGAGACTTCTCAGGGTCACCTGGAAGGACAGGAGGACAAATATATTGGGTCGGGAACAGCGTTAATGGTACGAAATGAAGAAGGAATGGAGGCACGAGTCAAGAAGAGGAAGATCACAAAGTATTGGCACTGGAAAAGAAGAGAGGAACGTGTTAGAACGGTCGAAGTTGAAGGGAAGTCTCGCGATGGTTAGGCGTCCTGCGGGATGGAAAGACAACGTCAAGAATTGGGAAGATCAATTGGGAGTAGCGAGATTGAATGCGCAAGAGAGAAAGCGACGGCCAGAAGGGCTACGGCATAACATACATGAAGTATAGTATATACAAATATACACTGTCTTGAGAGGTTCTGGTTAAAACTATGCGCAAGAGGTGACTCCAATGGTACTATTTGTTGAGGGGCGCAGCCCCAAAGCAAATGGTACTTTTGGAGTCACCGAGGCCCATAGTTTTAACCAGTACCTCGAATAGAAGGCATGGTATATTTGTTTTATATCCTACATCAAAAATGTATTTTATAAAAATACAAAAATAAACAAAACATTTTGGGGAAGAAAAACAAATTTAGAACAAAAAAAATGTCAATTTTTATCTAAAAAGATTTAAAATGTTATGTTTTCATTAAATTACGATGGGAAAAAAATAATCAATTAAAACAAATTTTGTTTCAAGTCCTAAATAGTAATCCCAAACAGTACTCTCATATAGTACTTTCTAAAAAAATAGTTCAAATATTCCTGGTCATGTGACGAGCTCTCAACCAATCAAGAGCCAACACATTTTTGATGCAGGATATAATAGTAACTATATTCAATATGGATTACATTTTAGCTTCAATGATTAAACGGAGTTAAGATATGGTAATATTAGCAAAGGCAAAAGAGATAGAGAAGAGACAGAAGATAAAGGAGCTAGGAAGGAGGGAAGAGAAACGGAAAGATAGAAAGAAAAAAGGAGGGATAGTGGAGAGAAGAATAAGCCTGTGAAAGCAGAAAGGAAACATGTAGGGGAAGAGGGGAAAAGAGAGGGAGAAGTAAAACTAAATATATATATATTAAGAGAGAGAGAGAGAGAGAGAGATTGAAAGAAAGAGTATGTTATTTTATGTTACAGTGTTACTACTAGTACTACTACTACTAAAAATAATACTAATTATACTAATAATGATAATGATAACAATAATTAAAATAGGGTGGGAAAAGACGAATAAAACGAAGAAGAAGAAGAAGAAGAAGAAGAAGAAGTGGAAGAAAAAGGAGAAAATAATTAAAAGAAAAAAGAGACGAAGTAGAAAAAGAAAAAAAGAAAAAAGTAGAAGAAAAAGAAGAATACAACAAAGAGGAAAAGGGGAAGAAAAACATGAGAACAAGAACAAGAAGGCGATGACGAATAATCAATAATGCAGTCCGTTCGCAAAAAAAGGATGGATGGTACAAGTGTTTCAGAAATATTTTCTAAATACCAATTAATATCACACCCAAATCATAATTTCACTACAATGTAAATTTCACGGCACATCCACCCTCATAGGTTCTGAAATTAGATCATCACTTGAGAGTTAATATGAGAGATCGAATGGGGGTTATTTTCTTAATTCTACCGGTACTTCATCATGTTTATAGCAGCGAAGCACCTAGATTAACTATGAACCTTGGTTACTTCATCGACAGATTGAGAATTTGAATTTATTACAGGGCTGATAAGA